CCCAATCTCTGCACATTTTCCCTTTGAATTCTCCAAATAATTGGTGGCAGAAAGTTAATATTGTTTTTGAGTTGAACTGAATCATGTTAATATCTTAGAATAACTAAATCCCCAAAATATTGCCATTACTTTACCTTTTACTCCCATTGGGGTCCTTGTACATGCAGTTAACTTTCACCCAAACAGTAATGAAAACCATACAGCATTTTTCTCTACCACAGTAACTGTTGCTCTGGCTTTTTGAAAACTGTTTGTAAACTGACTGGACATCTGTCATGGTGCCTGGGGTGGTAGGATTTCACTACTTCCCTATCGCTTACAATGATGATCAGATGTTACGCTGATCTCACTCAAGGCAAACAAACCCAATGGCCTTTGGGCTTGACTTTTCCCATATGACTCTATCTTTGGAATACTCTCTGTTGTTGTCTTGCTGATTGGATTTCATATTGTTGACTTGGAAGTTTTGAAGCCAAATGTCACCCTCTCTACTACTCTACTCTTAGCCAACTTGGATTGAATCTTGGGTTGATGAGGATGTTCTGGTCTTTGTCTATACAGATTTCCCCCTCTCTCAGAAAGCAGAGCATTCCTATGAGACCTTTCTTAAGCCTAAGTGGCTTAAAGCAAAGAAGAAATTACCTTAGGACACATCTGGCTAACAGATGCACAAAATTAACGGAGATAAAGCCCAGATGCGCACAGACAGCTCAAAGCTGTGGCGGTTGATGCTGAGATGCTGAGTGTGGTTCCCAGGGAAGGAGCTTGCGGGCCACTCTCGCTGCTCAGGGTGCAGCTGCCTCCATAATGCAAAACAAACACTGCATGCTATTTCCCATTTTCACCTTTTTACGTAAAAGTAAAAATCCTCCTCAGATTTCTTTCACTTAGCAACAACAGGAACTAATGTAGGTCTGTCGAAAGCCAAGTGGCGTAGGGCGAATTTTCAAAAAGCGGGGGACACCTGTCTAGGCACTTCACAGGGAACTCTGTAGGGTATCTGCCTGGGCTCCTTTGGCCCAGCTTTAACACTGCTATAAGCCTCGTCCAAAACTAAAGCTGTATAATTTTAATGTTTTTCAGATGGTCAAGACCCAGTATAAATGTTTTGAGCTTGACAACCCAAAGCAAAGAGCACCATCTTAAGACATGGTATAAAACAATAGTGTAGCTAAGGCGTAGAGGTTAATACCTAGAAGAAGAACATGGTGAGTGGGGAAGAGCAGGCTGAGTCAGGTGCAAATCCTAGCCATGGTGCCATTAGCAGCATGACCACAGACAAGGTGCTCAGTGTTTGTGGATCTCAGGTTTTGCATTTCTAAATGGGAATGATAGTGTTTTTTTAAAGATTAAGTGAGAAGTTTATACACATATATAGTGCACTTGGCACAGTTTCTAGCACAATTAGAACATAGAACTAGAACATAGCAAATGTTCAGAGGATAATAGTTATCATTATCGTCTGTGAGATGGGGTCATTTCTAGTAAATAAGGAAAGTTACCCAAATGTTCTTGATATGAACTAGCACTCTGTTAATTTTTTTATTCTATCCATCCATCCATTCTCTTTGGGTAGTTCTGTGGAGGAGACAGTGATGGAGCTCCAGTGAGTGGCTCAGAGCACCTCCTGTCAGAGAGTAAATGGTGTGTGTGGAAGAATAGCATGCATTCTTTTAGATTAGGTCCAGAATTAAACTAAGACCTAGAAACTAGATCCATTCTTATCACTTGCTACATATCACTTCAATGAGGGCTTTTCCCAGGTTAACCACATCTCTTCATGCAAAGCACCAGCGAATTTGTTTGATGTGACTGACTATGAAAACGGCCAAGTCTCTGTTTTCCGGGTGAGGATGTCTCCGCATCCTTTGGGTCCATTAGCTAGGATAAGCACACCAGGAAGGTTGCATCTTCTCTGTGCCAGGCACTGTGCTGGTTATGCTCACAACTTCATCTTCCCAACAACGTTTGAGATTGGCATGAACGTTCTCACTTTATAGGTGAGAGGACAGAGACCACAGCAGTCAGGTCACTTGCCCACAATTGAATTGAGAGAGTAAACCAGAAGCAGCAAAGGCAGTTACACCCGCTCGCTTTTACCAGTTATTTGTTGTTTAGTGTCTGTTATTTGTCAAAATAATTTTGAACATCTGTACTACTACGAAAAGCATTTCTTAGCAGGACTCAGGAGCTCGAGGTAGCACCCTCCGCATCGGATCCAATTTCCTACTGGGAGAAAGGCAGTGGGAATTTTATGGAAGGAATTTATACTCAATAGAAGTCTTTGGCAAGGTAACTGAAAATAAGAATAAAAGGGAATAAGAAAATACAATGTTTTAGATTTACAAAATACATTTGAAAAGAGTACTGTTGTGTTTTCCTGAAATTGGGGGATTCTTTGATCTTGATGCTTAAAAAAAAAAAGAAACAAACAATGCAAGAATATTTTAAAGGCATTTCCCTGGATCATATAAACAGTGTTGCCTGTAAGTAAGCAGCATTGGGGCCACACTGAGCATATTTATAAATCATCTGAAAGCAGGAGTTTATGGGCACATTCCAGATTTGCAGAAACTGCCAAGCTCCTCCAGGTAGCAAAATGCCAAGCTGACAAATATGAATTCAGAAAGAGTACACAGGGCTGTGTGAGTGGGCAGAGCATGGCAGATGGGCTTCTGCATGGACAACTGTAAGATAAGGAATTTCGGGAGAAATAATTCAAACCATCTTTCCAAGATCAAAGAGTTCAGACCTATCAACTATAACAAAATTAAGAGGTTTTACAGCCAGTGTACTAGTATGTTTTTGTCCCGACTTATCCCTACCTCAGATGTGCTTTAAAAGGGCATTTTAGAACAACCAAAGGACTTATATGCTAGCATATAGGTCTAACCAATGGACGCAGACAACAGGGGAGTGAGGGCATGAATTGGGGGGGAATGGGGGGGGATGTGGGGATAAGGACACATATGTAATAACTTAATCAATAATAAAAAAAATAAAAGGGCATTTAAAGGGGGATTAAAGCAGAAAATTGTATCCTGCTCAAACGGAAAGACATGGTTCACTTATAACTGGAATATTGTGAGCAATTTTTGTTTGTTTGTTTTTATTGTGAGCAGTTTTTTTTCAACACCCCTGAAGCAGTTGTGCTAGAGTAGGAGATGGTGCAGAGAAAGTGGACTAAAGTGATCTCTGCTTTATACAAACTGCAAAGTGTAGGACTCGTCAGCCTTGGAGGTTTATAAAATCAATGGGGTGTGTGTGCTTGTGGACATTCGAATTTAAGTGCTAATTTAAAATCTAAATAAATGTAGGCAGAAAAGCCGATAAGCCAAGTGACAAATAGGCAAATAAAAATTCAAGGTTAGCATAGGATGAAATGCCCAAAGACATACTCACCTCTCCCCCTTAAAACTTGAAAAGAGAGAAAAAAATTTTAAGAAACTGGTTACTTTGGGAACTAGTTACCCAAAATGAGCTGTATCCTAGAACGTCACGTGGGCAGGGACAGGGTAAATACACTTTTTGTGAATGCATCTACATGTTGTATTAATGTTTGGAGATACGCCCAAACTTTGCAATTTACAAGCTTTGGAATCCGCAAATCTGATTCAAATCTCAGAGCCACCTCATACTAGCTCTTGGATAGGCAGCTCTGAACCACTTTGCACCTCGGTCTCCTTGTCTGTAAAGCAAGAAGAAGCCCTTCTGGAGAGGAGTGTTGGGAGGATAGAAAGGGCAGCATGTGCAAAGCTGCAGGAAGGGTAGGGACTGCGACTTTTCAAATCTTGGTTCCCTGTGTCATCTCTTCTCCGAGGTGTCCTTTGCAACTCTGTCAGACTTAAAATCCTTTCCGGGGGAGACCCAAGTCCCCCAAGTCACTGTGCTTGATTGTAACCCTGCGTTACAGCTTTTATCTAAATCAGCGGTTCTCAACCTGTGGGTTGCGACCCCTTTGGCGGTCGAATGACCCTTTCACAGGGGTCGCCTAAGACCATCCTGCATATCAGATATTTACAGGACGATTCATAACAGTAGCAACATGACAGTGATGAAGTAGCAATGAAAATAATTTTGTGGTTGGGTCACAACATGAGGAGCTGTATTTAAAGGGCCAGAAGGTTGAGAACCACTGATTAACATTCATTCTTTCCTATTCAAGGAGCTCCTGTTATTTCCAGTCAGGGCACATGGCCAGGTTGCCTGTTGAATCTCCAGTAGGGGGTGTGCAGGAGGCAGCCAGTTGATGATTCTCTCTCATCATTGATGTTTCTCTCTCTCTTTCCGTCTCCTTTCCTCTCTTTGAAATCAATGAAAACATGTTAAAGGGGCGGGGGCAGGGAGATCCAGGGTAGAATAGAGTGTGATGGGGCTGAGGGCACAGTGCTTTAGTGAGGAGGTGTGGGGGCTCTGTGAGGAGACCACACTTGCGCAGTGTCCAGAGGGGTGAGAGGCGTCATGTGAAATCTCAGGGGCCTTCTAGGCAGATGGACAAAGAGGGTAGAGGCCCCAAGGCGAGGATGTGTACCAGATGTTCAAGGAGAAGAGAAACCAGTGTGACTGAGCATCCTGAATGGAAGGGAGAGAGGCAAGGACACAGACACGGGCAGTGGGCAGCCAACCCTGCTGGGCCTCAAAGCCAGGTCAGGACTGAGCTTTTATCCTAACAGCAACAGCAAGCGATCGGAGAGTCCAGCTGGTTGGGGAGAAGACTTGGCTTGCCTTTTGAAAGGTCTTGCGGCTGCTGAGTAGAGTGTGGGACTGGGGCAGCCTGAGTGAAGGGGCACCCTCTCCGCTTTCTCCTCCTCCCCGCACCACTGTGCCGCCCGACACTTTCTCCATGGCATTTCTACCTTCCTGGACTCGAAGGCTCACACTGATTTCACATCTGTCCCGGGGCAGAGGTAGCTTTGTACAAATCTCCTTTCGTTCCTTCATCTCTTAGGACCCACAGAAATCATTTTTCTCAAATGAAATAACCCAAATGTGTGTCGTTTCAGGTTTTAAAAATCAGTTTGATTGGCCACAGGAAACGTATTTTGGCGTCGCTGGGAGACAGGCTGCACGAGGACCCGCCCCAGAAGCCCCCTCGCTCCATCACCCTCAGGGTAAGTGCTCAGGACATTCCTGTTTTCTCCACGCCTAGCCCCCAGAGTTCATGTGGGGCAATAACATGAAATGACTGAAGCAATGAGTCAGGAAGTGCGGGCTGTGTTCCACACAGCGTACCTTACCCATCTGAAAAAACAATCTCACTTCTGATTGTGTTTCATAAGACAAGATTTTTTTTCCTCGATTGGTTAAATATATATTTTTGAGATTTAGATACACATCAGACAAACCCCCACCTTTAAAGAACGACCCCCCCAACTACTGCCACCCCACACTCCCATCTTACACCAAGAGAGAGGAAATGAGTTTTCTGTCAGACTCCTCAAACCCACTGAAAGAAAATCGATCAGAGGCCACAGCTAAGTGAAGGTCAATTTGAAATTAACCTTAGGGTCTTCAGTTTTTTATGAAGTAAATATTGCCCAGCCTTACCCACTTCAAAAATTAAGGTTAGAGAAGCTAGAACTAAATATTTAATAAACTATTTCAGCTATTGTTTAGAATTATGGGGCAGTACAACTAGAGAGAAACCCCACAGCGCGGCGGGGGGGGGCGGGGGGGGGTGCAGAGAGAAATACAGTGAAAGGGAAGGGAAGCGAGGAGGAAAAGGCAGAGAGGAAGAGAATGAGCGAGAGGAATGCCAGGAGAAATGGAGCAGGGAGGGGCAGCCCGTATTCACCGGGTACCTGAGGCCTCCAGGAACTTTTCTAAAATTCATCGAAAAGTTGGACTGTCCATGAGCAGTTGGGGAGTTCCCACTCTGTGCTCTTTACTTAGTCCTGCACTTGGTGCCTCTGACTCCCTTTCTGCAAGTGTCAGAAAAGGGAGCGATAATAACTGATGCACACAGTGTGGCACTTCAACAGAATGGCCAGCAACGCGATGCAGTAGAATGCATCCTATCAGTGAGTTTCAGCACACAGCATAACCACCGTGGGCCAGTCAGAGGGTCGGGCAGGAGAGGAGCAGTTAAGATTTGAGTTGGGGTGGGGCGGGGCGGGGGGGGCGGTAATCAGGGGAAAAAGGAGACAGGTAATACTTTAAACAATAAAAGTTGTTGGATTTTTTTTTTTTAAGATTTGAGTCTGATTCCGTTTTAAAGAAAGTGCACAAAGATTTCTGGAAATGAAAGAGAATTGGCTCCAGGACGGAGCCCTTAAGAAAAGTGATTATTGGGGCAATTGGGAGATGCTGGGACATTCGGAGGCTAGTTGAGGGCTTTGGGAGCAGTGAACGCAGAATTAGGACCTATTTTTCTCCCTCAATAAGCAGAGCTTCAAATAAATTGGGAGAAAAATGAGGCTAGAGAGGGATTATTGTCTTACCCTCATTTTGCTACACAGAAGGGGAGAAAGATGTAGGCACCGTCAGGATAGCCCTCCTGGAATGACTGTTTAGAGGAGGCCTTCCCTGCTGCTTACTCAACTCTCTTTCCTCCCCCTTCTGAACCTATCCCTCTTACTCCCTGAAAGCGATTTAGGAGAACAATAGAGATTCCCAAGAAAAAGTGCAGAACTTTAATTTGTCAAAGGAGGTCCAGACCTTTAGGGGGGCAGGGAATCAGCACCCTCCAACCCTTCTCTTACTTGCAAACACGAGAGCCCAGCTCTCTGCCTCCTCTTACCTTACTTCCGACCAGTTTTCCCCAGCTTAAGTCACCTTTGCCTTTGAAAGTCATTCTATGCACTGCCCTGCCATCTGCACGTGTGACATGCTCTGTTTCCGTACTGTGTCCTCTTCCCCACCTGACTGCCAGACCACCGTTTGATGAAGGATCCAGCCCCGGTGGTTCCCATTTAGCTTCCTCATCATGGCATCTCCCGTGGTGAGGACTCTGTCCACAGGAGGACGCAGCTCCTGCCCTTGTACACACACGTGGTCGTGTCAGGGTTACCCGACATCTGCGTCCTCTCCTCTGAGATCACCCACTGTTCTCGTTAAAGAAAACAGCCTGATTCTTTGTACTATCTAACCCTTCGGCCTGAAATACTTAGGGGGGAAAAGTATTGACTAGATCATGCCATTCACAAGACAGTGGGATGGCATCTACGCCTTGGCAGTTGATTCAAAAATGAGTCCCCACCCCCACAGTGTGTCTTGTCGGTATTTCACAATTTTGCAACCAAAGGTTAGCCGCCAAAACGTGGTATTTACTTCATGATGTATTTCCATTCAGGAACCCAGTGGTAATCACACTCCTCCTCAGTTGTCTCCATCACTTAGCCAAAGCACTTACACCACTGGTGGCTCCCTAGACGTTCCTCACATTATCATGCAGGGCGATGCAAGGAGGAGAAGAAATGAAAACTACTTTGATGATATTCCCCGATCAAAACTGGAGAGGCAGATGGCCCAGGTAAGGTGTTATTAAATGCCTCGCTAACGTTCTTTTGCCTTTCACTCATATCGCGAAATGTATTCTAACATTGAGCAATAGCTAACGATGCCTATTATCCATACCAATGGGAATTTGACCATTTTATGCCATGGCTTTCATTCCCTGCTCACTTGACCTAGATTGAAACAGACCTTTCTGGGAATGGAAGGTATACACAAATGCTTGGTTTTCATTCTTCCTGAAGAAATTATGTCCACTCTCATAAGTCTTTGCCCTAAAGGGAACAATTACTGGGCAAGAATGAAATCATAATGAAAATGAATAATAAAAGTCTAGATTAGAAAATGTAAATGGGCTGGAATACAGAGCAGAAATCAGGGGAAAGTGTTAACTCCGATAATGTTGTTAATTCCCTCCCAAGTAGACACATCTGCATAGACATGTACTATTGGGACTAGTTGCGTCATCTCACGTTGTGAACTTGAGTAGCTGAAAATGACGCTGCTGCCGGACACTAACAACTGAAAAGAGAGATCTGTCACATCCAGACCTTTCCCTGTTTCGGTGCGGACGTCTGTGTCTGACCTGTCCTCAGATGGCCGCTCTGAGACGCGAGTCAGCCATAGCCAAACAGTGGCGCTGTTCTTAAGCGCACGTTCATGTGGACAGTTAGCCCTGGCGTGTAGCCCCGAGATTCAGAGACATGGATTTGTTGACAACAATTGGCAGATTCAACCCTTTTCATCCTCATTCTAGGTTCAGAATGATGTATTGAAAGGCTTCTCTCTGCCTCTCACACCTAAGATGAAAATTTCGAGGTGAAAATATGACTGTAATTGCTTCGCCTTGGTTGTTAAATATTTCTCTCAACTGTTTGCGAGATTCTGTTTTTAAAAGCCTTTGGCAAACATTCTATGCTGCTACTCACAAAAGAAAAACGTGAAGAGAATGTTCTGGAAACTATGGCTATTCTGCCTGCTAATGCCCCAGGAAGAAAGGGCCTGATATATTGCATCTCCTTTTAGCTCTCTCAGTTCTGAATTGTCCTCAGAGTTCTTTGTGCAAGGAATGGCAATGTTGGGATTGTGGAGAATCCTTTATTGAAGGGAGATGGAAAATGTAGGAGAGACAAGAAAAGAATAATTTTCCCTTTCTCTCTTGTTACGTGTTGCCTTTTAATCCTTATTACTGTTTTCAACTGATGTTCTTTTAAATAACGAGTCTGAGAGCTTTTTGCCAAAAGGTGTTCATGTGTTTCCTGCTACTTGTTAGAATTTGTGGATCACATAGGTGGTTAAATCTCTCTAAAGACAGGATTTCAGAGACATGGTACGTTTTGACCTTGAACCATGTAGTCTTTATGTATTAATGCAAACGGGGTGTTTTCTGAACCCTTCTCTCTGCTGGGTAAGGGAGGGTCGTGCGTTGATGAACATTAGCTCTTATTGACTGTATCAACTTCAGGAACAGAATTACCCATCTCAGCTGCTCACATAATTTATGAAATTTCTCCACATGGTACAGCTTTTCCAAAGAGGACATTAATTACTCTTCCTCCTATATATGAACTCTCCAGGGTACTCTAACAAAATTTCTCTCTTACTTTCTTTATGGGAGTCACAAACTGGGCCAGTAGTACCTTTTGAATAACCTACATTGTTTTCTTGTCACTCCAGTCTGAAAACATTATTTTTCAGGAATTGTCTTGCCCTTGAGAAGATTCAATGAACTTGTATCTGACCGGGTGAGAGAGGGCCAAAAGCAGCAAGAAGAGGTAGACAAGCAGGCGGGTGGGATGTGGTGAGCCATGGAGGGCCTGTGTGCATGTGCTCATTCACCTTACGTGTGCTGCTCACAATGCTCAAATGACTAGTTGTAGACACAGGCCTCCACCAGCAACCAGGAGCTTGGTAAAAACTTCCTAAAATCCTGCTATTTGATCTGGCACTTTTGCTGCTGAGAAAATAGGAGGTGGCACTACAGGAATCTGACCTATAAGAAAAGGCATTCTGGGATTGCAGCTCTTCGGGTTGTGTTAATTGCAGCCATTGATTTGTTTGCTTTAAGAGTGTTTCCTCATCTGGAAATGCCAAAAAAATCATGAAGAAATGAACACGTATGTACCTCTTTAAAGTAGTGCCATTTCAGTGCGTTAACCTAACAAGATATTAAATACTTGATCATTTTGTTGTCGAACAGTTTTATGTATGTGGCTTTTCTACCATTCAAAAACTAAGGTTGATGTTCTTTTCTTTTTTGGGTCATTTGCTATCATAATTTCAAAAATTCACTTGCTTTTTAAAAACATACTCTCTCTAGACTACATTTTTTTCTCAAAGTTATGTGCTTAGCCAATAAAGTCGAGTCTTCCCGAAGACTTGGATTAGCCATTAAAATCCCAGTAAGCAAGCAGCAGTCACACCGCCTTTCCACCAGGAGCCCAGTCCCAGCGGGTCTTCCCCCAGCGGTTTCACTCCAGAGGCTTACTGTCGTTTGGTCACTACATGCCTAGCCAGTCCGTTCCTAAGTCGCTGAAGTCCATCTTCAGGGTTTCTTTCCTGTTGCTAAAAGACAGGGAAATACAGTTAAAGAGAATCACCAAGACAGATCCATGTTTTCAGGAAACACTCTACTGCAAGCATGTCCCACTCACCGGCCCTGAGTTTGACATGCTGGCAGTGCCTCAGGTTTATCTGATTCCCCACCGGAGTGATCTGGAGTTCCAGCCGTAGGCGAGAAGCCTTGTGGCTGCAGTCATTCGTGGGAGTTTTGCCTTCGTAAGGTCTGCTGACCAGATGTTTGGAAATGCTTTGCTTCACTTGGAAACACGATGCTGAGCGTGATGTCCATTCCACCTATTAAGTTCATTTGTTGGCAAATCTTTTTTTAAAAGGTAACACTGGAGTGGTGTTTAATTACTTGTTTTCCATTTAAACCAATACGAAAAATAGCTATTTGGGAATACAAGGGCTTTGCAAATGTTGTAGCTGTTGTTTGCTTTTATTCTGATAAAATCAGTATTCTGCCTCAAATTATCTTAGATGACTATGTGAGAAGCAAAATTGAGTTGAGTACTAATAGCATTTTTTAAACCACTGAGAGTAATGATGTAAACACATCTAAACAGTGGGTTTCCTATTATGCTAAAAACAGCTTTTCAAGCCTGTAATTCTAAATTGGACACTTTAGCTCAGAAGTTCTGAAATGTTCCCCTATTTCCATACACCTAATAAATAAACGTTGCATTCACAGTTATATAATAATACCTAAAGCTTTTAAACTTTTAAAATACTTTCACATCTGTTATCTCATTTGAGTACAAACAAGGTAAATACTGCACAACCATTGATGTGTGTGTAGCACATGGCAGATCAGCTTTTTAAGTCGAGTGCTGTGGGGATGAGATAGTAAATGAAAATATGGGGAAGATATCAGAAGGAGGAAAAATACTTCCAGTTCTTACAGCCTAATCTAAATCTTTAGGAATATTCTTGAATGATATTTAGGAGAAGTCAAAGCACTCTTAAAGTGGATACTAATAGGGGGGTAAATGAATACTAAAGAAGAGTAATGGAATTAATAAAGTTTAGAGACCACATTTTCAAACTTATAAAAAAAGGGGGGGGGGGACAGTTCCCTGGTGCAAAACTTAAAACCATTTATAGAAGGCCTCCGTTTACAGAAAATGTTTATGGAAAAATGAAATAATGCCTCTATCTTCAGAAAATAAAAAAAGACTTCTAAAAGGAAGAGAAATGCATATTTTCGCACAACCTTTGGCTTAATATTCATGAGGAAAATTCATAATGTAAAAAGTCTTTGTGCTTTGAACACTCCCATCAAAATGAAAATATTAATATCACCTGGGGCAGTGGCTCTATTTGATGAGCACAACCCTGAAAGCAGGCATGAGCCCCATTTTAAAGGCAAGGAGACTGAGAAACTCCCTGACTTGGTCCAGGTAGCAGAGCCCATAAGAAACCAAATTAGAATTTGCTAGGAGCAGTATGTGAGGCTCCTATAAAGGCTTTGTCTAAATTGCTTCTAATTCATAGAAAGTTGATTCAGTTCAAAGTCTAGTATTTTCTCATCCAAACAGTACAACTTAATAAGTATGACTAGATCAATTCCTCCTTTATTTGAAAGCATTTTTACATATTATACTAGTTCTACAAATATTCATTCTTTTTTAAAAAAATATATTTTTATTGTTTCAGGAAGAAGGGAGAGGGAGAAAGAGAGAGAAAAACATCAATGATGAGAATCATTGATCAGCTGCCTCCTGCATGCCCCACACTGGGGATCAAGCCTGCAACCCAGTCATATGCCCCAACCAAGATCTAACAGTGACCTGGTTATAGGTCAACACTCAACCACTGAGCCACACCACCGGCTGGGCCAAATATTCATTCTTTTGTTAAAGGAAGAGAAATGGAAACAGCCATATAGAAGTCCTGCCCTGACCAGGTCCGTGCCTGGGGTTCCATGTGCGGTATTTTAGTTAATCCTCACAGCAGCTCGCTCTGTAGTGGAGGAAGCCCAGGTGGGTGAGTGCTTGGCCTCACCACCGGTACACAGCAGAGCCAGCACTCCAGCTCTGCTCTGCTGGGTCATACCCTGCTGCCTCCATGGTCCTGATGCCCTGTGGGCTGCCTCTGTTTACAGTGATATAGAATGTTTAATAACAGTTCAACAAACACTAATTTCCCATGCTCTAATAGATCACACTTATGTAGGCACAGTGAGCAGATTGAGCATAAAATCACTAGTAGTGGAAACTTACTGAATCAGCTCATGGTTAATCACCACAAAACCCTTTAAATGCAGAACTACAGTGGTTATTTGTTGATCCTTTCGGTGGCAACCCATCCTGTACCTCCTGGTAGAACTCTGCCCTTCTCCCGTGTTTGTGAAGAGCTCCGCACGTAGGTTTGGGGTTGCTGCATTTACAGAGAAGTTCTTGTGGGATTCTCCAAATAATGGATGCTGTATCTTTAGTGGCTTCCTCAGTTGGTGTT